AGAGACTATCAAAAGAAAACAAAAAAGTTTGTTACATCTTATAACCTCCATTTAAATAAAACAAATTTTAAAACTTTTGCAGTTAAAACTTTTTGGTTATTATGTCATGTTTCGTGTAGATCGGGTGAGTAAAAAAACTCTGACTCTTAGTTCCTGAGACTGGGAGGGCTAAATCAGACATTTCTACTACGAAGTTCTTGCATCGTTACACCAGTTGTATCAGAATTACGATTATTTTATTGAGAAGCTGCAGCAAATTATTTGTTCTCGAAGAATTTCTTATAGCGTACGATAAATGCTTTAATGGCTGAAACTTTTCCTCTGTTACAACTCTAAACTAAGCTTACAAACAAACTTCAACTGTTTACCCAAAACCTAAAGTAGGTGAGAAAAACAGGTTTATTCTTTCGGATCTTGTAGCGCAAACTAAAACTTGGTTACGACAGCACTCTTCTTTGTCAAGCATTTAAAGAAAACCTTCTATCAAAGTTTAAAACCGAAACAAATTTTTCTCAAATGATGAAATTTTACCTCTCAAAAAAAGTTTTAAACTGTGCACCGGAAGCAAATTTCAACTCACTTTTTTTTCAGCAGTCATCGAAAATCTTAAAGAATCACAAACAAATTTGCTTTGCCGAACCTCTATGATTCAAAAGTTAAAATACGCTAATCACAACGTTCTATAACGCAGAACCAGGCTTGTAATGTGGAATCTGTTTCATCAACAAACCAATAAAAAATTTTTAAACAAATTAAGCTGAAGTCTTGATTCCCAAAACCAATTTAAAAATTAAATTTCTTGAAACACTCCTAATTGGTCATTTTCGGTTGATATAACCTAATTCTATATGGTCAAAGCGTTTTGGAATACAGCTAAATTGATGTTACAGACTCTACACTTCCACAGCTGAACCATTTTTACACAAATATATAAACATAAGTTCCTTTGAAAATCCCGAGGGTTCCTATCCTTTTAAAAATTCATCTCTTCAATGTAAGAAGTTATATCCTGATTCAGGTTTGACACATGGGGGATATAAAAAGCTATATTGAATGTTTCAGACATGGGTTCTGAAGTCATACAAATGAAAACATATGACCATCTGTTCAAACTATATCTTTCCATCATCTACTTTAGTTTTTTAGACGGAGAAATATACAATTGTAAAGAAAGATGTGACCATTAAAATAAAAAAAGACTTGTTTCATGAATTAGCAGATTTCTAGAAATATAAACAAAAAAAGTCAAGTGAGGTGACAACTGAGTATGTCAATTGACATTAATATAGAATTCAACATCAAATGTTGTAGCACAACTATAAATAAGCTGTTTTCTTCAAAAGCTCGAAATGTATACTAATTGACCTTCTGTGCAAAAACGGATCCCATGACATTTAAGGGCTTTTCACCTCTTTCCTCATTTCTATAAAAGACTGAGGCTTCAAAAAAGCTGCGCATCTGCGTCCCGTATTCTAAAACCTACCGCCAAATGAAAAAGATAATTGAATAGCGTAATTGAAGTCCTATCTATGCTTGACAACACTAACAAAAATATTATGAATCACCCGCCGAACCTCTTAATTTGGCACTAGAAATAGAGTTTAAAAAGAATACTGTGCAAAGCCCTCAATAATCTGTAAAATAGAGTAAAAACATAAAGCAATAAAAAAGATAAGTATGAAAGAATTTTTCTAACTTGAACAGATAAAAGTGATATGCATGCTCCTTCCACTCGGAATGCAAAATATACAGCATCCTTTGTTACTGGAAAACTTCTAACCACTGAACTAGCTGGTGACTGTGCATCGTTCCCCGAGTGAGGATCACCAGCAATCACATTGATCAGTTCCCTAAACAACAACAGTTCAGATACCAAAAAAAAGCAGAAACGAGAGCAGCAAATTCTACAAATAACGTACCAATTCTTATCAGATCCATCTTGCAAAGGCTTCTCTCCATTACTCACTTGTGTTCCATAAAGTTTAAATGTTTCTTTACAACCTTTCAGATCCCCAAGATCACGGCAACTCCTCACAGTAAATGTAACCTATAAGTTTCTTTGGTAATGTTTGGTATTTACAGAAAAAATGAAATATTTGATGACAAAACAAACGTTTATAAGAATTCTTTTAGCTTCTTGTCGTTCAATTCTAGGAGTATACAACCAGTCATCAGTAAGTGGAAGTTCTCCATCGTCATTTAAGGAACGTTCCGAGTTACAAGCAACGTAAGCCCGCAAATTCCCCAGTGGAGTCGTTATATAGGTTTCTTCTGCCCACTAAATTAGTGAAAAATTTTGTAAGATCCCCAGCATCCAAGTCGTACTAACAGTTAGCAGTATTTCTTATGTTATGCTGTTCATTTAATAAAAACTGTCAAACACTTTATTTGAAAAAAAAAAAAAAAGGATCCTTGATGTTTTTCCAACTATTATGAAAAAGTCTTTATTACATAATACTTGAAAGACATAAAATGCTGAAAAAATTGCTTGTGATGACACACAGTTTAACTTTCTTTTACTTTTTTGCGCACTACTTGTAGGCAAAATCAATCCGTATCCAAAAATGTAATTACTGTCTGCAAACCAAAAAATTTTCCAATGGCGCCAGTCACTTAAAGGTTTCCCACCTCTCCAAAACACTAAGCACCATTTTCCTGCTTAAAATTATATTAGAAAACCTATAAACAACAGCTACTTTTTTTTAAACGCCTTATTTCAAAACCAGTAAGTACGAAAATAAGAGAACCAGGGACAAGACCAACCTTCTTTCCATCTTACTAATTCTTAACGTTTTCTGATATCGTAAAATACCCGTCTGAAAAGCAGCAAAATTCTCACCTTAGACTGCTTAGACACTTTTTAAATGTCAGTTAATCGCTTTACACTAATAGCTAAAACAAACTGGAAAACGTTATAGTTACTACTAGCAAAATATAAACTTTGAATTGTTCTAAAGATTACCCGTCTTTAAGATCACTTAGCTTTCTTAGTTACCTTATTATTTACCAATTACCGCTAAGCTAAATCTTGTGCGCTGACTTGAGAACGCTAAATAATTTAGAAGCATTGGCATAAAAAGTAGTGTTCCAAGCAGCCTAAGTTTTTAAACGTAACAAATTCATCATTCCTTTTATTACTATGCATTGCTTTCAGAACACTATCGCATCAGCAACAAGCCATCAAAAGCTTCGAAGGAGTAAGCACAGGAAAAGTATTGTATATGTATATAAACAAAGAAAATTTCAATCAATGTTCTAAAAAAACAGCTCTTTCATGCAAATGTTCATCTATGTGCAACTCCCAGGTTGTTCAATTTCCAATAGTAAACAAAGCGACAACACAGAGTACTTTTTATAGCAGGAACCAATGCCACTAAGGAGAGCCACTTGAATAACCCCCTCACTCATTTGTCGCCCATCCATTACCAGTAAATTTTCTCTCCTGAGAGATTTTCACTTAAAACTTTTAAAGCTTAACCAACATCAATTTTTCCGCAGTATTCTGGCCGTCATTACCCAGGAATATCCAACTTCATTATCTGGTAAAAATTAAAACTTATAACCAAACCTTTCCTGCCCTGTCTTCATATCTAACACAACAGACTTGCAGTGAAATCCGCGAATAATACCTAAGTAAGCTTTGCTATTCTATTGCGCCATCGAAGACAGGTGTTTAAAAACTAAATTTAGTTAGGTCCTAACTAATGATCATTGTACGTTAAGGCTCCGTTATGGCGCCATTCGCAACATAATTTGCAGTTTTCATTTTCACACGGTAGATACACCCGTGCAAAAAGTTGGTTTTAAAACGCTTTAAATTATAACAATTTGGGAGAAACAGGATATTATGTATTATGCCTAAATGTACGTCATTTCAAAATTACATCATTCATCACAATAAAAGAGCAAAAAATTAAAAAAAAATATCCCTGTCATCTACTTTTTCCTTTACTTAAATATGCAATTTCGCTTTTTTTTTTCTAATAGAAATCTTCTATTATAAGTCTAATATAAAACTCTCTTGTTTTTTTTTTTTGTAATAGCAGACGTCGCTCAAAAACCGTTTCTAATCCAAGGTCTTTTTTGTTTAAAAAGAAATGCGCTGCATAAGATCTTAAACCAATTAAAGTGTTTTGTATCAATACAATACCGAAATTATTATGTAGAAATGTTCAACAACTTTTGAATTCCTTCACCCTCCTCAAAAAGAACAGTAATTATTTTCCTTTTCACCAACAGATTCACTACAATAATTAAACACAAAAAAGTTATTAAAAAAATTTTAGAATTTTGCAAATACCCTTTAAACTCTTCGACATGCCGCCAGTTTCTTAGGTGAATACTAACTGTAATCTCTTTTGTTTTGGCTCAATTAACTAGCAGATTTTTACTTCAGCCAGAAAACAGCACTGAAAAATCAATTCAAAAATAATCTACTATTGTGAAAAAAACTTCTTTTTTAAAATCTAATCCTGCTGTGCACAAATGTGACCAGTGAAATAAGAAATCAATCAAGTTTTTTTAAAATATCTGGTCTGGAAAAAATGATAGAAAAAAGTGGTCTAGTTTTATCAAGTCTAAGTATTTCAAAAAAAAAATTTAAGTGTTGTTTTAAGTTTAGTGTTCAGTACACAAAGCCTATAAATTGTTTGCCATCTGTTAATATAAACCATAACGACTTATAAAACGGTAAAAACATATTGAAAACTAAATAACCCTAAAAATGATGCCTCATCCACGTCTCTTAGTGCTATATTATATACAGGAAAAGCACGAGAAGGTATAAAACAAACAAACAAACAAATGCGACAAAACAGAAAAAAAATACCCCGTCTTCCTTTGAGTATACCGAATAGGTCTTCCACTGTAATTCGGTAGTAGCCTTTGAGGTATCCAAAAGAACAACTGAAAAATATGAGATAAATTCATAAACACAGTTGATAATTAAACAAAACATAGTGAGGAGAAGATGAAAAAAGACAGTTAAGAAAAAAGTGTTAAAACGTTAGAAAAAATCTTAAACAGGTCTAAAAAAGAAAAAAAAATCAGAAGAACAGTTAAATATAAAAAGAAACTGTAGGAGCTTACAAAAATCTATTAGGTCGATAGTGATAAAAGACGGCTGGAAAGAATAGAGTTTT